GGGGGAAAAAATGGGAATAAAAAAGAGCAGAGGGATGCTGTGGTGCCCAGGCTGGGGTTTCCTCAGTGGGTGTACATGGCAGGGACAGAGCAGGGAGCTGCTTTCATTGAAGGGTTGAACTCGATTATCCTGCTCAATTATCTTCCAACTCAGAGCAGTCTGTGATTCTGGGATACTATTAATGGATTCAGCAGGAAATTAACATTTTTGGAGAAGAAAATGAGATCAGATGAGACTTTTCAGCCATGTCAGGTTTCTGGTATTGGTAGGAAGAAGCAGTCAGCTATGGCAGTGAGGGCAGGACCCTCTTCATGGCAGTGGGGTGGACTAAGACCAGCTGGAGGTGACTGTCAGGCCATGGGCCAGCTCCTCTGAGCCCAGGTTAGGCTGGATTAGTGTGTCTGTCTCAGCCACTCTGTCAGCAGCCACTCACATTTTGCTACAAAACTTGAAAGACAACTGTTACATCTGCTTATCCTGGCTAATGTTGGGGACCTGAACTTATCCCCACTGTCCTTTACTATCAGCTGTAATCTCAACAACCAGCAAATTCCATTTGTGGACAGTAATTTTACCAGGAGACCAAAGACACCACAGTGCTCTGGCCATCACTGATCACGATACCAACCTGGCTGCTGCAATATCTACAATTCCCCCAGAGTTGTGCTGTGCCAAAAATGCACACCCCGACCCAGCAGTGAGGCTTGATAGGGGAATCTGAGCTGAACATTTCTGCTCTTCTTCTTTCAGTTGTGCTTCCTGCTAGTGACACCTGCCAGCCCCATCTGGTAGCACAGGCACTGGGAGCTGCCTCGTTTCCCTGTGCTCTGAGCAGGATTTGTATTTCCTACAGCTCCTGTGCCCAGGATGCAGCACCAGCTCTTAGCTAAGGTTGTGTTTTAGTCTGAGGGTCCTTGTTCAGCCCCCTGTTCAGGGTCTTTTCCACCTCACAACGGCAGCAAATCTCTCTGGCTGCTCTGCTGGGTGTGTCAGGGGCTTTGCTGGTTTCTGTCAAGTGTGGGGAAGGATTCTAGGGATGAGGATGGGATGTGGGACATAAATGACCTCCAGGGTTGTTCTGTGAGTCTAGAAAGTCCCTGACATCCCCAGATCTGCATTGCTGTGGGCTAAATTGCCTCCAGGAGAATTCTTCCAGCAGTGTTTGGCTCTCACCTTGATGCATGAGGTTTTTGAGGCATCAGGTGTTCAGCATCACCCCTCACTCACCAGAGGCTGTTTGCTGAGCTCAGCACTGCCCTGGCAGGTGGCAGCTCCCCAGTGTGCTGTGCCCAGCTGCTGTGCCCACCCTGCAGGACCACAGCCTCCCAGGGCTCTGTCCAGGAAATTTCTGACCTGACCCATGCAGAATTTGAGAGCTGAAGTGCCGGGTCAGGATCTCTTCTGGAGTTTGCAGACTGTCAGGTCAGAGCTCTTTGCTCTAGAATCTCTGTCATGCTCAGGGAGGTTGGTATAGCAGCAGGATGAGATCTGGGCATCTACCTCCAGCAATTGCTGCTGAAAGGCTGAGGGGATTTATTTCCTTTATTTCCCAAGGACTCCTCTTGCAGCCTTGGGTATAAATTTCCTTCAGTTTATTCGTTAAAGGCTCTGCTCCTGTGCTGTGTTTAGGCTGTCAGCGGTTGCCTTGGACATTTAGGTCAATCACAGATATTATTTCTGTCTCTGGAGCTGGCAGCTCTCATCCTGGGCCTTCAGCTCTGTGCCTTGCCTATAAATAAAGCCCCATTCATTCTCAGGGCAGTGGGAAGAGGCAGTGAGGAGCTGCAAGTGCTGCTTTCATGGGGAGGGGCGCTCATTTCAAACTGCTCAACCCCACAAAGAATTATCCAGGCCCCTATCAAGCATCCCTATTGCTTTAAGAGGAATTCTGGTGAGAATGAGAGGTATAAAACCAGACATTAGAGTTGGTGGAAGGCAATTTGTATTTGCAGCTCGTCACTGACAGGCTGAACAAAAATCTGCATGGTGGAGACTGGGAACAACTGAATGAGGACAGGCACAGGCAGAGCCTGAGGGGTGCAGAAACATCTGTGTGTGCTGGTTTATCACACAGCTGCTGTTCCTGGAGGGAAGGAGCCCCCAGAAACAGGAATCTCACCAACCCAAAGGCTTCAGGACCACAGCTCATGGCAGTCAACATTCTTACTGCTGACAAATACCAGTTCCCAGACCCAAACTGACAATAGGCTATTGGCTCTTTTCCTCTGCAGGGGAGTATATTGACACTAAAAATCCAAACCAAACAACTTTTAAATCCAAGTCCTAGAAAGGGATGTCTTCTGGTATATGCCACGTTGCTCAGCTCAGAGGGTTTTGGATAACAACTACAGTAAATAGTTGTTAATTTGGGTGGTCATGATTCTGCAGCCATTTCTGCTCTGTTGGGCTATGGATTCAGATCTATGCATTGGTGAGTGTAAGAAAATACACATAGAAGGGGCCCAGTTTTTTCAAATTATTCGGGTTACAAAAAATTTCAAGCATTGTCTAGGAAAGGGAAATGAGAAAACTCATTACAAAACTCCTAAACAGCACATCAGGCAGGTGTCCTTTACTGTAAATTATTCCTGCCCCAAAGCAGCAATGATTATAAGCTCTAGATCTTTGTTTAATCTCTTACTTCCTTAAGAGTGCCTGCATATTGTTTTGTCATTTATTGGAGTCATTTTGCAAAGTGGATCCTGGGTGTTTTCACAAAGGGTTTACCTTGCACATGATTGATTAAGAAGATTCTCTTCCAGATGCTCACATATCTCCCTGCTGCATATGTTAGAGCTGAGCACTTTTTATTTCCTAGCAAGGGAAATGAGCTCTGACAAACTGGGATGAGGTGAACATCACTTTATTTGAGGGCTGAGACAAGGGCAGGGGCCAGAGAGAAGAAATTTCTCTGGGTTTGCCTGGGTCTATCTCTTCTCAGTATTTTTTTTATACTCCCACTCTATAATATTTGTTTTGTATATTTAAATACTATCCCAGGCACGTGGTGATTATTGTATTACTGCACTGCAATGATCAAAAGAACTGACAGCCCTCTGCCTTTAGATTTCCAACCACAACAGTGAAGTATGGGCCAGATTTTGGCAGGAGGATTGTGAAGCCTCTGCTGTGCCTGAAGGCAGGTGGAGCAGCCCTGCTGCCACCCTGCATCCCCTGCACCTTGAGCTTTGGGCTGGACTGCCACGCTGCTCAGCATGGATTGATCCCCTCATCCTGCTCAGGAGGGCACAGATTTCCCTGTTAGCTGCAGTTCCTGCCCACCAATGATAAATCCAGCAGTGAGAGCCCCAGCTCTCTCTGTGTGCTTTGTATGTCCCCCCTAATTAGTCCATATTTAACCATTACAGTTGATAAAAGGCAGGGATGTGTTGCAGCCATCCTCGAAATCATCTTTTGTCCAGATGGCCCACAAAGTACATTATAAACCTCATTAACAGATTGCACCAATTAATTAACAGATACGGGAATCACTTCACTCACCACCCAAGGCAGCTCTCTCCAGGAGGGAGCAGAACCAGGGAAGGACTCACAAAAATCATCCCCAGCTAAAGGCCAGGGAAGGGATCAGGGTCAGCAACACCAGACTTTGCCACTGTTTTCCTTCCCCAAATTTTAACCATTTTTAAAATTTATTATTTTTAAATTTCAAAATCTTATTTGGGGGGAAATGCCAGCTATTTTCCTGAAGGATTTACCCATGTTTGTCCCAAATTAGGAACCATGTAGCTTGAAGTGGAGCTGCCTTTCCAACCTTGCCAATAGGAAGCAGTTCCCTTATGGCCTTTGATGTATCTTTATCTGGGTGAAGTTACATCTTCTTTTGCTTTTTACTCCAAAATAAGCAGATTATCAAACATTTTTTTCCCCAGTCTAAAGCTCAGTACCTATTGATGACTCTGTAATGAATTTGCACTCCAGGCTATTCATTGCCTTGCAGATGTTTAACCATAGGATTCCAGTGCAGAAGGAGATCGATAGATGTTGAGATTAAATTATCCCACTGTTTCAAAACCCAAATAATCACTGCTTGAGCTTGTTTGGTTTGGGCCCAGGACAAAAGTCAATTCCTTCCCTGTGGACATTTCTATAAAATACAGTTGACATAAGAAATGATGAGACTCTGGAAAACTAGATTGAGCCATAAATATTCATCTCTGCAGTGGATTCGAGAACAATTACTTAACTTTCTTTAATGCCCAGCTCTCAGGGTGCTTAACAAACTCTCTATTCTTGGCAATCCTCAGATGTTTAACAATTCAGAGCCCCTAATCCATAACTTGGGAGGGAAAAATTAAGATTTGGTTAGAATAAATCCCTGGCTGATGGAGTTAGAGGAGCTTCACTGTGGCATTTGCAATCAGCTAAAAGAGCAGAAAAGGATGGAGAAGAGTGTCCCTGCCTGTAGGTATCTATAGCTACTCCAGATAAGCTCTCCAACAATCTTTTCATGTTTTCAAGATACTGGTTCCTAGGACAAGCATTTTCTAAAAATATTTGCATGTCTTTGCCAGCAATTTCCACCTCCTCTCCCTCACCTGAGCCCTTCCTGGCTCTTTTCAGCCCAAGGAACCATGGCAGCCCCTCTCCTGCTGCTTGAGCATCTGTGCTCAGGGGCAGGAGAAACCTTTCCTGGCCAGCTGCAGCCACAGGAAGATGTGGTACCCATTTATCCTCTGAAACCTGTGCCAGGTTTGCCCAGGATCAGAGTCCTGGACCCCTCCCTCCCTCCGGGCTGGGATGGGATGGGAGCTGTGCTCTGTGAGTGCAGCTGGGGAGCAGCACTGCCCGTATCAGGGTGTTTGTGTGCCTGGATTTTCACCTGAGCAGGGCAAATCCCACTGCCAATCCCAAAAGTCACTTGGGGGATCTGTGTGCTGATCAGGGGAGGGTCCTGCAGGGCATCCCCAGCAGATCTGGGACTCTGATTCCTCCTTCTGCTGCTTCTCCTCGTTCTTTTCTGCCTCATCTGCCCCTCCCAGGGATAAGGGGACACATTGCAGGGGGGTCTCTCTCTGCTGAGCTCTCCCTTGGTTTTCCCAGTGCCTTTTTTCCTTCGTTTCTTGCTGGCAAAAAGCTCGGTTGTTGTTATAGCAACCTCAGTGTGGTTAAGTCTCTGGAGGCAAGGTTTATAGGGAGAGACAATATATTTTATTAGACTGCCTGATAAAGCTAAAAGAGGAATATAAAAGAGAAAGAAAAAAAAAAAAGAAAAAGAGGGGAAGAGCAGCTCCCTGGTTCACAAGCTCGTTGCAGGTCCCCAGAGCTGTGGGCAGAGGGGAACAAAGCAGGTACAGAGGACAAGGAAGTGACACTTGGGGACTTGTAGGCATCAGAGAAGGGGCAGAGCTGGCACAGGCTTGGCCAGGCTGGCAGGGCAGCAGCCCAATAGCCAAGCAGTTCCAAGGATGCTAAATCTGGTTTTATCTGGTGCGAAGTAGCGACTCAGTGGGAAAAGAGACTCGTAATCAGTGTTGTCTCTCCCTGCCAAATGCCAGCACTGTGCTGGTTTGCCTTCACTGCCCCAGTGCCTTCACAGCATCCTTCAGGCTGCTGCAAGAACCACTGCATCCAGTGCTAGAATGACTCCAGTCCCCCTGATGCTCTGTGCATCTGATTTTAACCTCTGGTGAAGCTGCTTAGAGCAGACTTTGCTATCACTCAGCCTCTGTTCCTCTTGGGTACTCTCCCCACGTGATGTATCAAAGGCAGCAGAAAACACTCATGGTCTGATCCCCAGCCCATTTCCAGCCCTTGGCTGTGCCTGCTGGCTCTCAGCTCGTCTCCCAGTGCCTCTCCAGCAGCACTGTCTCCCTGCTCAGATCCCACCTGATCTGCTCTGCTCCTCAGCATCTGATCCTGGCATCCATCAAACCAAGCCACTGCTTTAAGGTGCCTCATCCCTCAAGCAGACAGCTCCTGATGTTGGTACCTCCTCATCAATCAGTCTGGAGAAAACCCACTTTCCATACAGCTGCTGCTCACCTGAATGGGATCTACTTCATGTGCTGAACTGTCATTCAGACTGGCAGTTTTGAGTTAAATTCATGGCTTGATGATAATTTTATGTAAACACTGAACTCAGGGCAAAAAGCTTTGCCAGCAGTGATGTAAGAGATCTTGTCTTGCTGCCTGGTGTTTCTAAACTTCAGTGTTGCTCAATGGGTAAGTCACCTTTCACTTTGCATATTCTGTTCTGTTTAACGAGGCCCTTGTAACTTCCTGAGCAGAAAAGCAGATCAGGCAATAACTCATAGCCTGTCTGCTGAAGCAAACACAAGCACTTAAATGTAAATTAATTCAGCATTAAACAGGTGGCTCTGGTTTGCAAGTGGCCCAACAGAATGATGTGGGATGGAGTCAGCTCCCCAGGGGCAAAACCAAAAACTGAAGCAAGATCTGTGATCTGTGGTGGCGGATTTTTTGTTTGTTTGTTTGTTTTTGTTAGAAGGGGGAAATTGCACAACTTTAAGGTAGTGCAAGGCTTCCTGTATTTTAATAGCTGCAGGAAATTCTGGTTTGACAGTTTGGGTGACCACAGATGCTCAGGGATGACACCATCATTTGAGGTGATGCTGGGTGTTTCTGGGTGCAATTTAGCTCTATAAGCTTGGCCTAAGATGGGAGGGACTGGACTCTGGCAAAGGGGCAGAATCCAGACTGAGACCAGCACAGAGCTGTGCAGACAAAAACACACAGAAAATGGGGGAAGCAGCAGTGCCTCCTCACTGGTGCCTCCATGAGCACCATCAGCAGAGCATCAAAAAAAAACCACAACAGGGAGAATCTATGCACCAAGGAGACCTGTCACAGACATCTTTTATGAAAAATCCTTTCCTTAGGATTTTTCAGCCTGAGAAGCTGAGAGGCCTCAGGAACAAAATGTAAACATTGATTATCTGCTGCTGTGGAATGCAACAGGTGCATCTGTGATTGGCCCATGTTGGTTGTTTCTAATTAATGGCCAATCACAGTCAGCTGGCTCGGACAGAGAGTCTGAGACACAAACCTTTGTTATCATTCTTTCCTATTCTATTCCTAGCTAGCCTTCTGATGAAATCCTTTCTTCTATTCTTTTTGTATAGTTTTAATATAATATATATCATAAAATAATAAATCAAGCCTTCTGAAACATGGAGTCAACATTCTCATCTCTTCCCTCATCCTAAGACCCCTGTGAGCACCGTCACAGGGACCTTTCCAGCACCTCTTGTGTTCCCACTGCAGGCTTGGCTGATGAGGAGAAAACCCTCCCCAGCTCACAAATTGTCCCCCAGGTAAGGCCTCAGGGTCAGAAGGGGCAGGAATGCAGGCACTCACCTGCTGGAGTGAATCCAGAGGAGGCCATGAGGATGCTCAGAGGGCTGGAGCCCCTCTCTTAGAAAGAGAGGCTGAGAGCTGGGGTGGTTCAGCCTGGAGAAGGGAAAACTCTGGGGAGACCTCACTGCAGCCTTCCAGTGTTTGTAGAGAGCTTACAAACCAGAGCAAAAGAGACCTTTTACATGGGCAGATAGCAATGGGGAAAGGGTGCTTGGTACTGGTTGCACTGGCACTGGTTGCCCAGAGAAGTTATGGCTGCCCCATCCCTGAAAATGCTCAAGACCAGGTTGGATTGGGCTTTGAGCAACCTGGTGCAGTGGAAAGTGTCCCTGTGCATAGGAGGGGGTCAAATCTGGGTGATCCTTGAAATTTCTTGGCACCATAAACCCCGTTGCAGTTTGGAAGAGACAATCAGGCTTGTCCACAGGGTGAGCAAGAGTTACAGGCTCAGCCTTCAGCAGACACTGAAGTGCTTTTTGAGGACTTTCACCTTAGCCACAGAAAGGGATTGACATGGAAGGATGATGACACTGTACCCTAGATGGAGAGGCTGCATTCTTCCAGCACTGCATTCCCTCATTCTTCCAGCACTGCCTTCCCTTGTCCTGAGTGCTGCAGCACACAGGCTGCATGGTGCTATCCTGTGCTGCTGCTGCCTAATTGGATCAGACTGGCTCTGATTGCATTTAGGAGCTGATAAATGGCATATCTGAAAGCCACTGGTGTGTTACAGCCAAAGTGTCTCTTGCTGTAGGGAGTTAATTAGAGCCAAGGCTATAAAGCTCTTTTTGCTGCTGTGGAACTCAGCTATTGGGGGCAGCTGGAGGCATCATCTGCATGGAAACCATCTGAGGAGCCCACACAGGCTTGCTTTCATTTAGAAGCAGAGTTATCACAGCAGTCCCAATAACCCATGAAGCTGAAATGCGAAACCTTGCTCAGAGCTTTTCTAGAACTCATCACCAAAGCAGGTTTCATTGGAATGTGTTGACTCCCTGACTCTTATATTTTTGGTGAGAGTCCTTGGTTTCCACTGCATTTTTTCTGCAGAGTTTTTCTGCATTTTTTCTGATACTGAAAGGGTATCATTGGTCTGGCACGTTGGACACACAGGGAAAAAGCAAGGTTAGAAGATTATGAAGAAACTGTGAGAGTCAAATGGGCTTGAGGTATTTTTGTGGCTCGCTCATATGAAAAACAAAAAAAGCCATTTCAACCCTTCAATCCACCTTTTTGGTGGATCCCCTTCCCCCAAGGCTCCCTCACCCCATGACAGCATCAGAGATTTGTGAATGTGAAGTGGGATCACCACAAACCCATCTCAAATACAAAATGCAGGGGCAGACAGACACCAGTCCTGGGGGCCAGGGGATGTGCAGGAGCCCTGTGGTAGAATGCACAGCATTCCCAGGGCCCTGGAGAAGGCTGCCCAGCCCTTTCCATGCGCTGCCTGCCACAGCTCTGCTCCCATGGGACACACGAGCTGCTCACATCACCCTGTGGCCGTGGGGATGGACTCAGTCCCTCAGGAAGCTGCCTCTGGCTTGGTTCAGATAAGTTCCTATCCCATCTCCATCACCCTGCTTCACACATCATGAAAGAAGACAGATCACTGCTGTTCTCACTCCAGACAGCCCATCACCTCCTCTGAGTGACTCTTCACTTTTATTCACACAGATCCAGGCTCATGAAATGCAAACCAAGTGCCTTGGGTGGTTCCCTGCCCAGACCCATGACACCTCTGCAGGGTCTGTAATTGCTGTTCCAGGCAACTGCTGCTCATCTCAGCAGATATCATCTTCCTGCCTCCAGAAATGTGTTTTATCACTCCTGCTCTCCAAACTGAAACAGAACCTTTTCCCCAGAACATGGAAATATAACGGAATAAAAATTGTTACACAAGCCCAGACTACCAGGTTAGGTTGGCACTGTTGATGGGAACTTTTGCTCTGCCATTTTCCTGCAGGTAATGACAGAGGAAGGACAGATGGCTGGGAAGAGCTGATGTACTTCTGTCCCCCCAGCTACAGGTCTGCCTGGAAGGGTGGCTGTGTGCCCTCAGCAGAAAGCACATCTAGGAAAAGGGGAACTCTGCTGGGTGAGTCACAGGATGCACTAACTCTGTGCAGTGTTTTCTCCTCTGCCACCAAATCCTTGTGCGACCTTGGTCACATCACTTCATCTCCTGGCACATCCAGTTCCCTACATCCAAAACATCCCTTTTGCCTGTTTATTTCCACTCAGACTCCCAAGTTTTGTTGGAACAGCTTCCTGCCATGCTTTGCACCCACAGATGCCAACACCTCTGGGTCCCTGCATCACTCTGAGCACTGATGTAGCAAAACCCAGAGTGCCTGGCTTTCAAATGCCCTTTAAAATGTGAGGATCAAGATGTATGTCCTTACTCCTATTTATTCCTTCCACCTGCTGCTGCTACCTTTTTCCCTGTGGGGAATAATGAGGCAAAATATTTCATACAGAATGGGCTCTCTCCTTTTCTCTCCTCAGCACTTAGCACCTGCTCATTAATGAATGTACACCCTGCACATCGACTGGGGCTGGTGCTGAATTGAACTTTGAATGCCTTTTCAGTGCCATAGCCTAGTTAATAATTACTTCTATGACTCACTCAACTCCATGCTGCTGGAGCACCATTAGGAGAATTGACAGCAAAATAACAGAAACATTAAACCTAATGATTTTGCGAGTGTTAAAGTGCTCCCAGTGTCACCAAAGAAGAGCCTTTCCCTCTGGCAGTTGTCTCCCCCACTCCCAGGGGGTGTTTTTTTCCCATCCCTGGCATCACAGAGGCACATCAGCTGGCTGGTCCTTTGAGGTTTGGCAGCAGGAGTGTGGGGTGCCCACGTGTGCCATGTGTGCACAGGCAGAGACCAGCCCCATTTCAGAATGGAATCATAGAATCTACTGGGCTGGAAGGGACATTAAACATCAGCCAGCTCCAGCCCTGCTGCCATGGGCAGGGATGCCACCCACTAAACTGGGCTGGTCAGGGTTCCATCCAGCCTGGCCTCCAGCACTTCCAGGGATGGGGCATCCACAGCTTCCCTGAGCAGCCTGTTCCTGTTCCTCATCACCTTCTGAGGAAGGAAGTTCTTCTTAACATCTAAATCTCTCCTCTTTTAGCTTTAAAAGAACTTCTTCCATCCTGTTCCATCACTATCAGCCTGTTGCAGATAAGAAGTTTCTCTGACAATTTTATTCCCATCAGCAAACTGTGACAAGTTCAGTTTCAGTGTGGTCTGGCATCTCCCCACTGCCCCTACATCCTGGAATTCCCCTCCACCAACCATGCCCTGCCAGAAGCCCACAGGCTCACTGTCAGCATGCCTAAATGCTCAGGGAAAACACTCCTGGGTTTTCCTCCCTGTGTCCAGGGACAGAGGGTTACCCCCAGCCTTGCTGTTGGGTCGGTGGTAACTAATAATGGGAGTTAGCACCATTATCCCAAAGCTTTCTGAATGTGGCAACAAACCTGAGAGGTTTAATAAAAGATTTTGATTCAAAAGGAATTTCCCCCACTGGTATTCCCCAAAGCAAAAGTGTTTCTGTGAAGTAGGCATTTCCTTTTATTTTAAGAGGAAAATTCAATTTCTCTTTCCTTTTTTGTTAGCCAGCTCCCCCTCTTTGCCTTCATTGCCACAAATTCCCTAATCTCGTTATTTTTGCGTGTTGGAAAAGTGTAATCATCCGAGCCATGAAATCGAAGACAACAGCATCACTTCCAGGGAGGTGACTTAAGTCAGAGGAATTAATTCTCCCAGCAGACAGCTCTTATTTAGAACAAATGTGATTTTCAGAACTGAAGCTATGTATTTAATGAGGCTCTATGAAAACATACGTAGCCCAGAGCTGCTGGGAAATTCAGCCCTGTGCCAGAGAAATGCATCAAGTCAGGAAAACAACATCCAACAGGATCATCCAGCCAGTTCATCCCTCAGTTCCCTGCAGAGAAAACCCATCTCTGTTTTGCTGACCCTCAGAGACTGCTGCTGGAACAAGGGAATCTACATACATTTATTTGGGGTATGAATCTGTCCCACACAAAAGGTGTATTTGGAGGTTTAATCAGGAAAAGAGATGGTGTTTCCTCCCTCTCCTTCAAAGGAAGCCAGCAGACACGAGCAGGTGGATCTCCACACAACGCAGGATTAAGGCATGGAAGTCCTTGTTACAGATGTTACAGATATTGAGAGTTATGGCTTTATTCTTTTCCTGGGAAAAGCTGAGCTCCCCATTTTCAGCCCTGTGCTTCAATTTCCTTTCTTGCCTGTTATCTTTCTCTTTACCCAGAGCAGGAGCTGCCCTACTGCCACCCACACAGCAAAACACCAGGGGCATGGATGGGGCTGCTGGACATCTGCATGGTGTCAGACCACATTCAGAGAGATTTCCAGAGACATATGGCTATGAAAATCCATTTATCCAGCAAGGACACAGCAGAAGTTTTGGGGCAGTTGTTGTTTCCAGACAAAGGATGAGAAAGCAAAGCCATTTGTAGATCACCATGTGGGATGGAGCTGGAAAGGGAGCCTCAGGGAGCTTTCAGTTCTCTGCTGCCTGGGCTCACCTCTCTGGAGCAAACAGCTCTGCCACTCCCAGGTGCAGCTGTAGCTGCCAGATAAAGGTTATTTTTCTCCAGTGAGCTCCACGGCCCTGTGAAAGGCTCCCAGAAAACAACTTTGGCTACTGATTTGCACAAGCAGCCTTGGTGTGCAGGCAGCAGTGATATGCCCAGCCCTGAGCAAGCTGCATGAGCCAGATCCCCTGGGTTTGTACGTGTAAAACCTGCCTCCAAATGGAGACTGCAGAGACCTGGAGACAGCAAATGGGATAAAGCAGCAGCTGCTTGCCATGGGGGAAGGAGGATCAGCTCCTAATGATAGCATCATGTTTGCCTGGCTCAGCTGGAGATGAAAAGATGAACTATAGATCAAACTGATTTCTCATGCCGAGGTAACAACAGAGAGGGATTTGTCTCCAAAAGAAGCATCTTTTCTGCCTACATGCCAGCAAAAGAAGTAATTTTTCTGTCTGACTTTATAACTTCATCAAATATCCATCTGGCAGCAGGCCAGAGCACAATGTATGAAGTTGTATTCGCTGTCACAGCAGATGGATGGGAGAAACTCCAGTGAAGATTTCAGCAGGAGAAACCCACTGTGATGTCTTGGGGAGGGTACACAGATCCCAGAGGCATGGCTCATTAGAAGCATTGAGGAATTTGGCTTTTTGGATTTGATTGAAAACAGGGGGTCTGACAAGGAGTTGTAGTCCCCAAGCTGCCTTTGAAGTTTGGTCCTTATGTGGAGACAGAGTTCAGCAAGATCTTTTTTTAGGGGTGCCTGGAGGATTGAGTAATAGAGCAGCACTCGAGCGTTTGGATCGGAAATTTCATCTGGAACCTGGGAAGTTTATTTCCTGGCAAAAGCATCATGAGAACCAGTGTATTCTCAGGACAGGCCAATTTCAAGAAATCAAAATTTCCAGATGACTTTGGGCTCCCTGGAAAAACTCCTGGGGACTCTGTGTGCGTGAATGCCCTGAAAAACCTCATCTGTCCTCCCAGGCTGACACTGTCTGTGCTCTGAGGCTCCAAAACCAGCTCAGTGTGGGCAGGTCCTGCAGGGACAGGCTCAGGGTGATGATGATGATGATGATGATGATGATGAGTAGCAGGAGATCTGCTGGTGGAAGCAGTGAGATGTGCTCTGCCCAGGCTGTGTAAATGAGATGAGCAGAGGTGTGGGAAGGAGCCTGTGTGGAGCCATCCTTGCTGACCAGCCCTGATGGCCCAGCTGCCTTCTGCAGCCTGGGTGAGCCGTGGTCACCCCCAGACTGGCCACCACTGCATGAGCTCAATCTCCAAGACCTTCAAATTCATTTTAAGATTGAATAAGTCAAGCTCCTGGCCTCCTGAGGAAGTGTGTGAGAGCAAAGTGTGTGAGACAGCAGCAGGGAACTGACACCTGCTGTGGCTTCAATCACTCTGGGGACATGTGGCAGGGCCACCCCAAAGGGTGAGCTCCTTGGGGCCATCAGTCTGGAATCCAGGAGTTTTAAAGGAATTCTCAAACCTCTCCCAGAGCAGGTTGTAGTGGGGCTGCTGCAGTGCCCGAGGGTCTCTCCCAGTGCTGAAAGCTCAGCTGAGCTGACAGCATCTGACAGTGTGAGAAAAACAGCCTTTCAACCTTTAAATTGAGCACATTTGCCATGGATTCAATGGAGACTAATGACATAAAAGCTCATTTTACTTTTTTTTTTAACAGAGAGACTCTGCAAATAGAAATTTCACATTTTCACGGGGGTTTTTGCTCTTTCAGGGATTTTTTTTCCCCTCTTCCTTTCCTTATGCAAGGAAAATGCCCAGTTTCTAGCACAAGACAGACCTGGAAGGTTTGTACTTCACTGTGGGCTTGGGAGTCCTGCAAAAGAATGGCTGTGCAGGAGCTTTCATGGAGCTCCTGAGCCAAAATCAGAGGAATAAGGCAGAGAGCAGTAAGGGCTCCTGGGCAAATGTGAGCATTTCACAGGAGGGAAGGATGGAAGGAATCAGCCAGCTCAGCCCATTGAAAGAAAAGCTCCAGGAGATCTGCAGCAAACCTGAAATGTTTCAGGGATAAAAATTTCCAGAAGGTTAAAAGGTATCCTGGTTAAAAGCCATTGTTGGTACAAAGATAAAAGGAAATAAACCAGCCACAGATAAATTTGGCCTGGAAATTAGAAAAAGCTAATTGCATTTCATAGAATGTTTCTGGTTTGTTCTTCCAGATGGAAAGAGAAGCTCAGGTTAGTGCAGGAATGCTACAGGCTGCAAGTGCAGGAGGATGGCAGTGGATGCTCAGCAAACTCTCCTCCATGCTTTTGTCTCTGGCCCCACTTTTAAAAAGGAAAAACCTTTCCAGGGAGGTTTTCCTAACAACCAAAAAAAAAAAAAAACAACCCTTTCTGCAGGGAAAAGGTTTTCATTTTACACACATTGTCAGTGGAGCCTTCTTAGCCAGCTAATTTCTCAGGTCTTTAACCAGCCAGGCTGCCTGGAATGGGGAGATTTCCTCTCATCTCCAATCACTTGGCTGCACATGGAGGAGAAGCCCTTTGACGAGGTGAATTTGCAAGGCTCTCAAATCCTCTTTATTCTCCCTGTGCCATCCCTCCTTGACTCATCTCCAGGAGACCATGTTGGGCTAAGCCCAGAGCAGGCACAGAAAGGTGACAGCAGCAATCCTAGACACACAGGCACACACAGATACAGCTCCCTCCCCTGCACCATAAATTAAATACCATCTCTACCCAGGGCTGGGGAGGATCAGCTGAAATAATCCAGCCCAGTCCTCTCTGATTCAGAGGCACTGAATCAGAGCAGCCCACAGCCCTCACCCAGCCCAGCCCACAGCCCTGCTGCTCCTGTGTCCCTGGGATCCCAGAGTTCACATCTGGCCTGGCCAGGTGCCCAGCTGGGGGTTAAAAACACACCTGCAGCCAAAAAAGGCTGAATTTGGTTATTCCCCTGTTAGTCAAAGCAATGATAGTGGGAGCCTGCTGTGGGACTAATGTTTAGGCAAACAGGTTTTCAAGGAGAACTGGCATTTGAGAGGCAATGTGAATTCTTAGGGACACTTTTTCCTGGGAGAACAAGCAGGAGAGTGAGGAGCTTGAGGCAAAATGCACACAGACAGGATTGGGGCACACACACAGTCTGGGGATAAAGAAGAAGGTGGCTGTTAGAATGAAAAGGCAGACAGGCCAAATGCTTTCTGAGTGCAATTATTTTAATGTGTCTCTCTTTTCCAAATTCCACATTGCACACACGGAAACAGCAATTTTTATAAAAAGACTCACGCCAGAAATGCTGACTTGGAGAATAGGAACTCTCCTTATCTCCCAGTACACAAGGAGGCACGAAATTCACAACATCAGGCACAGCTGACCATGGGGGTGAGCAGACAGACAGACGTGGGAATTACAAAAGACAGAAGAAGGCAAGAGCAGGGAGGCAGAGGATGTTCTCATGGACACCATGCTGGGCAGGCAGGTGTGGGTCACAGCTTGGGGGCACATCCACCTCACCGGGGCATCACTGTGGGGCACACCCACACCAGGGCATCACTGTGGGGCACACCCACCTCACATCAGCATCTCACTGCTCCTCCCCCTCTGCCTGCCCAGACACCATCTCTGCTGGCTGTGCTCTCTTGGTCAGGCATCGCATTATCCACCTCTGGTAGCATTTCACAGGGCAGCTGTGATGAGGAGTGATGCTCTCCAGTCCTGCTTTTCAAGACTTCAGCGAGCGAAGAAAGGAATTGTGTGCTTAGCACTTGATTTTACTAATTGTTTGGCTCTGAGTGCTCAAAGAAAATCTTGCAGTAACCATATTCATGTGGGAAATGTCTCTAAAAGATTTCCAAGCTGTTGTATGCTAGTGAGGCCAGCAAGTTGGGAATCAAACCTACATCAGCAAGCTGTTCTGCCTAATTGCTACAGCACTCACAGGCAGGCAAAAACTGAGGGAGCCTTTTTGTCAGCACAGCAGTTCCTGCATTCCTGGGGCAGTGCTGGGGGCAGAGCCCTCCAAGAAAGTGAGCTCTAAGAGAGATCACACAGGGGTCAGGCTGTGCAGATCCACCCAGCTCAGAGCAATCTCCAGATTCAGGTGTGCCAATGCCAACCTTGGCAATGCTCATCCCTAAAGCAGCTTTCCATGGAGCTGGAGCAGGTGTTTGCCCCTCACAGCACACATCAATGACTTGCCCAGGACCTGGAGGCTGTACCAAAGATTGAACCTGCATTTACCCAGCCCTACACAAACACCCTTCTCCCAAACCTGCCTCTTCTCCTCCCAATCACTGCAGACCCACCCTGCTAAAATCAAGATGTGGAGAAGGAGCTGTTGGAGCTGGAGGACTCAGGGACTCACATTACGACTCTTTGGTTAACCTTTTATCAAGGAATTACTTCAACCTCATCCTACCTGGGCTCATGCAGGGACATCAGCTGCCCAGGGGCTCCCCAGAGCAGCCAGGACACCTCCTGCATGGCCTGTACAGCACCAGGGCTTTTCTCTCCACAGAGGTACCTGGTGGCCAAGGGGAGCCTTGGCCATGCCACAATCCCTCCCTGTCCTCCAACATTTCCCCTTCAGCCCTTCCACCTCTCTCTACATGGATTTCTGGTGGTTAAAGCCTCAGGGCTGTGTTGTCCTCAGCCAATCAAGCAGCTGCTGCTGGGCTGAATGGGAAGAGTTTCCTCCCTCTGGCTACAGGATATATAAAGTTGTGTAAGAGAGAGATGGATGGAGGGAACATGGCATGGAAAACACATCTCAGAATACCCAAAGGGTGGTGAGGCCATGGGCTGTTTGCTGACCCTTCTAACCTGGGAAATTTGAGCCATCAAAGGGAGGTAGGAGGATGCAGGATGAAAAGAAGCCAAAGTGTGCAGCTCTCTGCTGCAGGATCACAAATGATGGGAACTGACAGACAGTCAAGGCGCAAATGGATTATTTCATGGGGGAGAAATCCACTCAGGGCTGCTACATACAGGCACCACTGCCAGCTCAGGAAGCTCCTAAGCAATAGCACATTGGAAGCTGGGAAAGCACTTCTGGCAAGCAGCATCCTGGTTTTCCCCTGTCTTTATGTTCCTCTCCAGACCTTGCTCACAGTCTTGTCAGAAGCTGGATCCTGGGCTAGCCGGGCCACTGCAGTGAAGTGGTGTGGTCCAGATGATTCCCTTGTCATCCAAAGTCCCAAAAACCACACTTCAAATATAGAGTTACCATAAACAGAGGACCTGTGCAGCCATTCCTACTCAAGATCCACTCTCTTGCTGCTGCCTCCCCACATACAAGTCCTGCCTGGCAGTGCTGTCCTTCCCCACACTGAGCAGGAGTCAGAGCAAAGCCCATCAGCACAGCACTGTGCTCCCAGCCAGAGTCCCCCAGGGAAAAACACAAATCCTTTGCAGCATTATTCCATCAGATTAGGGTCTTTCTGAGGCACAGGGGGCATCTTTGCTTGGAACAGCTCTTGATAAATTCTCTTCTGCAAACTCATCCCACTGCTTTGTGAGCACCCTGAGCACTCAATTTCCTGCAGCAAGGATCCACTCCTGGGCAATGGATCCCACAGTCACCATCTTCCAGCAGAGCTATTCTGAAGCCCATACAGTTCTGAAGCCCATACAGTCATCTACCCCCTGCCCTGAGGTGTGTCCCAGGCCAGCCTTCCGCAAAAATATGGGAAGAATGTTGCCTAGTACTCAATACATAATCACGGCCCAAAGATTTAATTTGCAGGCTCCTGTTAGTCTCTGGTTACCCCAGGAGCTCATCCCCAAGGATCCAGCCTGACTGATCTTCCAAGAAATACACTGAGAGGAGTAGCACAGCTGCAGCTCAAGCTCATTAATGTGAGAGGAAAATACCAGCGCTGATTGTGATCCTTGTGGTTCCTTCTCTTAGAATGGGCAGTAAAATCACCCAAATGAGGGCAGGCTGGGGCAAGAATTTTCAGCAGAGGAGAGATGGCTTCACACTGCTTTTTCAGTAGCAAAGACATAGCTTTGTCCCTACTGCCAAAAAGTCTGGCACTAAAAATGCTGAAATCTTCTTGTGACTGAGTGGCAGCAAGCTGTAATTTACTGCGTTCCTGCTTCTTTTATGTCCAAGAATTGCTTCACTTCTGAGAAGAAAGAGCTGTCATTTGTCAGTCCCAGGTAGCCTCTCCTTCCAACTGTCACATTATATCAGACAAATTAATTCATTCCCCTCTTCTATCTGCTCCCCAAAAACGGCAGCGTATTTCCAGGAACCGTGATCATCTTTTCACAGCAGCATCGTTATCAGTTTTCTTTTTAAAACTGTATAATGGGCATGTTTCAGCAAAAAAAATCTGGATTATTTTTCTTTCTGCTGTTGCATCCATCTCCCTTAAAGTGGTTCAGAGAGACCTGACTGACTGCTGGCTTTCCACAAGCACCTTCCCCACGCCCCTGACTGATGGCACAATTCCAGCCCGCCCATGGCAGCGTTTGGCTGGCTGCTGACAAAAGCTTTGCCTGGGTTTAGGATGTGGCCAGGTCCCTGGGCAGGTTGAGCTGTATGGCCTCTCCCCCTGTGGAGTATTTGGCCACTGGCCCGTTGCCCTCCATGGTGAAGAGTTTGCAAGCCTTGGCGTTCTCGTGCACTGGGGTGGACTTTTTGGAGGAGATGGGGGAGTTGGTGGGGCTCAGCTGGACAGCAGTGGTGTCCTGCACCGTGTGCTCGCTGGTTTCAATTTCAAAGGCTGTGTTGCCAGGTTTGATGAGGCCGATGTTGGAGCCTGGTTTGGATTTCCTGGCCCCGTGGGCCGGGGGCCTCCGGCTGCAGATGCAGCAGGCACCGAAGAACGTGAAGGCCACCACCAGCAGGATGGGCCCGATGATGATGGGAGGGTTGTTCACAGGGAGGAAGGTCCCAAAGGCAAAAGCTCCCACTAAGGTGATGTTGATCCCTGCTAGCATGATGCAGAGTCCACAAGCACAGCAGAGAGCAGGGGAGGGGAGGCCCTGGGGCCGGGTCTTCTTCTGGGTGGGTTTTTGGGGCAAAGAGGCACTGCTCTTTTCACTGAACATGCTGGGAAGAGTCTTGGAGGTCACCTCAGTCCTCACAGGGTGAATGCTGTGTTGTGAAGACTGTTTCCAGTCTCCTGTTGCCTTGAAATCCTGGAGAGGAATGAAGAAGCAGCTGTTAGGGCAATAAACCAAAGCACATATTCCCTGCCATTCCTGGTGACCAGCATCTTCTCTGGGTCTGCTGGTGCCAGAAACTAAACCCAAATCCAAGCCTGCTTTCAAGGCTGAACTTGACTTCCCTTGAACTTGACCACCCTGACTGTGGTGGTCACACGTGGTCACCCTCAGGCTGGAGCACTGAGCCCAGCGTGCTCCATGTCCTTTGCTCTCCATGTGGATGATGCCCAAGTGAATCCGAGCATGCCACGGCCAGAGCCTGTGCCATAGCTGGTCTCACAGGGTTTGTCACCACCCACACAACACCTGCCCAAAATAACAGACTCCAGGACTGCCCTGAACACCCCTCACTGCAGTACTGGTGGTGTATTTTTGAATGGGTAATGTCCACTGTTGTGACAGAAAGGGGACACTTTGCTCCATGTCTCAGTTCTCCAATAATTGAAATTAGTCATCCAGCTTGCCTTTCCAGCTAGTGGGATAAAAGGCCCCAGAAGATGACCCAGAGAATCCCCAAAGATGTCTGTACTGGGAGGCTGAGCTGACTACAGAGACAACCCTGGAGATCCCTCGAGCAGGTAGCATTGGATGCTCAGTGATACAAACACCATCCACAGACACTGAATGACACCCTCTCAGTCACACAAATCTGCAATAAAATGGAGCAAATGTGGCTGTTTTGTCAGCTAGACCATGCTTTGAACCATGCATCTCACCATCTTTGGTGTGATTACAGGAGACCCCATAGAAGGGGACTGGGAATCTTTGCAGCCATAAACCCAAACTTCTACAAGGCTTGAGCACTATCAGCTCCAGGATGGAAGCTCATGGAAACTGAGATGCTGAAGCTGAAAAAGAGCCTGTGTGGGGATCTGTCTAGGACCCAAGGCAGTAACACAGCCCTGGCTGACAGCAGCAGCTTCTCCATGGAGGAGATTATTGGATGTGATGAGAGCTGGATTTGTGTTTGCCGTACTTGCTGGGAAGTCAAATTGCCAGAAGCAAATTTGTCAGCAGTTTGCTGGTGATGTCTTTGATTTTACAGGCAGGAGAGCGTTTCTCTTCCCAGCCAGATTGCAAACAATAGCAGTCTGCTCTTCCTTCCTCTCCTGCCTAGCTCCCTAGCTTCTTCCCTCCTCTCCTGTCAAATCCCTTTCTGAAGTGTTGTCAGCAAAAAACTGATACCACTCAGTTTCTATGGCAGAGCCAAGATGCTCTGTTGTGCTATCAACACCCTGTAGCCACTAAATTAAACAAAACCCAAAACAAACAAAATCAAAACAAAACAACACCCCAAAACCAAAGAAAAATACAAAACCAAAGAAAAACACCAAACAAACAAAAAACCCAACAACAAATAACAAACCATCACCCATCACGCTGACACACACCAGTGGGATCAGCCGGGCATTTTCAACATCTTTCCTAGGTTATAAAATTTTCTGGCACCTCCAGCTGAGGCAAAGCTCTCTGCTGCCCTGTCAGGTGTCATATCTCATTTCCTTGGCTTGGGCTTTTGTTTAGACCTGGATGTGTGCAGCACTGGACTTTCAGCAGAGTTCCTGTTCAGTGAGGCAGCTGGAGCTGACAGGGACAGGATTAAATCCTTCCCCATCTGGGGATGCCTGGCTGGGGAGAAGTCTCTCAGCAGGCAGAGATTTTTTAAGGATACTGAGTGTGAGAGAGAAAGGGCATTTTCTCCGTCAGCCAGGCTGACACACATCCATGTTTGCCTAGCAGGGTCCTTTTGTTCTGCCTGGGAACCCTGGCATGCTGATGGGAGCTGGAGCCCTGATTCTGCCTCCTTCACCAGCCCTGCACCAGCAGCAGGATAGCTTCTGGTTAAAAACACATTTTTGCACTGTTTGCAGACCAGCCCAAACCTTTAGCACACAGAGGCTGCAGACACCCCAGTGTGGCTCCTCCCCTTGGTTTGCCCCACATTCTCCCACTACAAAATACCCACCAGGGAACTGCAGGATAGTTTAAAAATATCACAGACTCACTCCATCAGCTTTCTTCCTCCTGGCTTCTCACCCTCACCTGCTTCCAGTGTGAAGGAATTCTCCCTCCTGGAAGAGCCAGGCAGCTGGGCTCCAGCAGGACACTCAACACCCCAGCTGTTTCTGCTCTTAGGCAAGGCATCACCAGAGCTCTGCCTGCCCCTGAGATTTTCAAGAGGAATTTCAACCTGTTGCCCATCCCATCTGTCAGTGGGCGCCTGTAGCCACTCCAAAGGGACCCTGTGGTTTCTGGCAGCTTTCAAGGCTGCAGAGAGATCACCCAGCATGGTCCCTCATAGCTCATTTTCTCTGCCTGGCAATATTTGTCCATCATTACAGATCCCTGAGCACAGGGGCTGAAGCTTGTCACACCTTCTCTACAGCTGCACCAGAAGTGTTCTATGGCCATGGTATGTCCAAGGAAAAACTTCTTTCCCCTTGCCTTTGCTTGCAGCGTCTACATGGGGTAATGGGCCTTTCCCAGCAGAAAACAATGGAATCACTGGAGATTCCTGCCTGGAACCTCTCCCAGCAGGCTGGGGGCAGGAGATCTTGGAATTCAAGCATGATCGCAGAACACGATCCCAGAGCATGATCTGCACACACACCACAGGGTAACTCACAGCACAGAGAAATGTTTGGACTGGGAACACCTAGAAAGTAGATCAGTGGTTGCTTTTGTCTTCATCTCCATGTGAAACATCAGGGATTGCACACAAGGAATTCCTGTTAGACCACCAGATGACATGGGGCTGAGAAAGCCAACAGAGCAGTGGAGGATAAAGCAAAAAAGAAACCAAAGCCACAGAATGCCTTACACTATCCTCTACCTAACAAGGCCCCATGACAACATAAGGTCCATCTTTATTCTGATTGTCATGTACAACAGGAACACCTTTGCTCTTCTGTCATCTCCGAAAGCCCAGGCTAATGCTTCTCCATCCCCCTCTTAGGCACAAGAATGGGCTGATGTGGGTCAGGTCCCACTGCTGACCTGCCTGGGGATATCTGAAAGCTTTTACCTTTCACTACAGTGAAATCAATGGCTTAAAAAATTACCAACTTTTCAGCTAAATTATTCTGATTAAAATAACCAACTTCTGTTCCATCAGAAGTGGGAAAAGTTCTCTTTGGGCTCTTTGCTTGAAACAAGGTTCTTTTCTTATCAGTCAGAGTGTAGATTTCTTCTCCAAACAATATTTCAGCATGAAATGCACTACTGCAAGCACTGCTGTGCAAAAATAAAAGCTGCACACTCAAGCTGGCATGATGGAAATCCACAGGCTATAATGATTCCTTCCAGGAGAATAGCCACTCCTCCCTATACTCTCAGGGGGACAAAGACAGACTTTCACCCATATCTCTGAGAGTTCCTAGAGCTTGAAGGTCACACTGACATATTCAGCCAGCATTTTAGGAGCATTGTTTAAAGCCACAGCAGCAGCACCAGCAGCATGCACAGCCAAGCACGCTTCCCTCTTAGTTGTAGTGGAGAGAAATTGAGCTGTCATCCTTCAGTGCAGCAGCACAATGAAAATATTTGACAGACCACAGATGAGTCCCCTTTCCAGAGGTGTGATGGCACAGAAAAATAATGACAGTGATCAGCAAACTGAAATTGCAGTCAGACAGCTACAACCACCCCACACACAGGCAGGCTCACAAACACACAGGCAAACAACATTCAGCTGCCAGGAGAAGCACAAGACTTTTTTTTTTCGTGGGCAAACTGCTGGGAAAGTCTCTGGCAGGGCAGAGAGAGGCTGGGTGTCTGGAAGGGGAGGACACTCACCTGGGAGGGAGCGCGGAGCCGGGGAAGGCGATGGAGGGAGCGGCTGCCCGGGGTCTCACCCTCACCCTTCACTCGGGGATGGCAAAGCCATGGTTCGTCCCAGCAGAACGGGGGCTGGAAGCCTGCGGGCAGAGGGATCTCACATCTCTGCTCCCCTCTCGTCACCGAGCTCAGGAAACTTTGCTGGGGTGTCAGGCGGGCAGTCCTTGCAGAGCTCAGAGAGCTCCGCCGCTTTCCCCCCACTTTCTCCCTGCCCTCGGAGGACGATGCTGCTCTCCCTAGGCAGGTGGGTGCTCAGCCGCAGCATCCCTGCCCCGCCGCATCCTCTGCCGCCTCCTCCTCCCGCAGCCCGCGGTGCCCGGAGGCTCAGCCCACCGCCCACCGCTGTCCGGCGCCGCTCATCCTCGCCCCGCTGCTTTTCCTTCTTCCTTTGCAGCTTCAAGGCTGCAGCTCCCGCCCCCTTCAGCTGACAGAGGTGCCCGGAGCAGAACAGCCCCTTTTTCCCCAGGGGAGAGGAAAAACCCGGGAGCGCATCCCTGCCGAGGGTCAGCCCCGGGGCGGAGAGAGAGAGACACGGCCGGATGCCGAGGAACGGCGTGCGGGCTCGCCGGTGCTGCAGCCAGGCACGGAGCCCTCCAAGGTTTGAAACGCACGTAACGAGAAATTAAATAAAAAAATGCAACCGGTGTTCGGTGCCTCTGGATGGTGGGGGGATGCCGGAGGGATGAGTGAGGGGGGGAGTCCGTGCTGGGCGGCCGGCGGTGAGAGGTGCAACGTCCGGAGTGTGGGGAGCTGCTATGAATAAATAAATAAATAAATAAATAAATGGATGGATGGATGGATGGATGGATGGATGGATGGATAGATAGATAGATAGATAGATAGATAGATAGATAGATAGATAGATAAAAAGTCCCCAGATGCAAAACTAGTGTTTCAAATGAGGGGGTGAGTCCGTGCTGGGTGGCTGGCAGTGAGAGGTGCAATGTCCAGAGTGTGGAGAGCTGCTATGAATAAATAGATAGATAGATAGATAGATAGATAGATAGATAGATAAAAAGTCCCCAGATGAAAAACTAATGTTTCAAACAAGGGGCTGAGTCCGTGCCGGGCAGCCGGTGGTGAGAGTTGCAGCATCTGGAGTGTGGGGAGCTGCTATAAATAAATAAATAAATAAATACATACATACATACATAAAGTAAATAAATAAACAAATAGATAGATAGATAGATATACCCCAGATGCAAAACTAATGCTTCAAATGAGGGGGGTGAGTCCGTGCTGGGTGGCTGGCAGTGAGAGGTGGAACTTGGGGAGTGTGGGGAGCTGCAGTAAATAAATAAATAAATAAATAAATAAATAAATAAATAAATAAATAAATAATAGATTATAGATAGGTAGATAGATAAATAGATACACCCCAGATGCAAAACTAATTTTTCCAGATCCATGGTAGCCTTAGGGGTAGTTGGTCTAAAATCACGCCTCATGCTAGACCCTGTGTTAAGCACAGCCTAACTCCCACATTAAGGGGCCAATCTCTGTCTGTTTGCAGAGCTGGTGAGCACAGGAGACCTGGCAAACTGCAGCTGTGCACTGGATGGAGTAGAGATAATTCTCCCAGAGCTTAAGATATGTTGACACTCAGCTGTCCTCGTCTGCTCCCCCTGCTCCCACTGCTGTAACCAGCCTGGCTGCTGCCAGTGCCTGCTGAGCACAGGCTCTTCTCCAATTTATTGCTGAAGAATCCTGTATGAACCAGGCTGGAGATCACTGAACATCAATCATGCCCCTCTCTCTTTCAGAATGTTGCTTTCATGAGAGAGAGAGAGAGAGGAGAAAGGTAACAGAGGCAGTGAAAAACAAAGGTCAAAGAGAGAAATCACTGAGGAGGAACAAACACTTCTCTCTGTTCTCCAGGCACCACTTCAGCCTGAGGATTCTTAATACAGCAGCATCCTCTACTGCACCATACTGCATTTCACTTTACAGGTCATCCTAGAAATTCAGGCAAAACCAAACTTTACAGAAAGGAGTTCAGTCTCTGCTGAGGAAGACAACTCTGTTTTCTCCTAAGCTTGAGCAATGCCAACAGCACACGACATGGCTTGAGCAAGAGGGCAGGAGGATATCAGAAAACCAGCACTGCTCAGATGTGTTGACTGCCTGAGCTTACAGACAGAAATGACTGGGAAATCTCATTTCAGACCTTTCCAGAGATGCAGTGTCTCCTCTAGGGACTCCCTGGACCTGTAACATGAAGTTCAAAATGCCTCAGTGTGCTCAACCTTTCCAGAAAAGTGATGAGAGAGTGTACAATGGAAGATTTTGTGGAGAAAACCTCCCCCTGGCACCTGTGAGACAGTTCCACACGGGCAGAACTGGTGTTCAGTGTTTGCTGCCTGTTGCTGGGTGGAGAACAGGAGTGGCTGAACCCATTCCTGGTGTGGCACCCCAGAGTCCAGCAGAACACTCCAATAATCCATGTTTATGCAGGAACTGTGGCTGTCAGAGGGGAAGAGACTGCCAGGGTCATTGATTGGAGCCCACTGCTCTCACATTGTGTAACAGCATTCATAAAGCTCAGGCTCCAAAGGGGCCAATTAATACTGAACGACCTGTCAGTTGTGCCCTAATTGCACAAAGCAGTGATGAAGAAGGCTGCTCTTGCTTCCCTTTGCTTGTTGCATGACTCTCCATCACACCTTCTTCTTAATGGCCCATAAGCCCCCCAAAAAGCCTTTAGAAACAAAAAAAGTTACATTTTTCAGGCTTCACTGAAGCAGTAATTCTGTGCTTTGCATATGTGGCCCTGACAACTGGCAGACTGCATTCATGTGATTAAAACAACTGCTAATTCAAGAACTAAAATTAAAGGCTAGATTTCCCACTGGTATAAATCAGAGCAGATTCATTTCCTTGCAGAGCTTTGATAGCTCATGAGCATTCATGATTTGCCAAGGGGTTTCTGCCAGACTGATGGTTTCTAGCTTCAAACTTGCCAGGGACTGGGAAGCCCTGCCTTTTTCAGAGGAAAAATCCCAACCCTGTGCTGACTAGAAATAATATTCCTCTGGGAGAAACTGTTTGTTCCCAGCTTCTGCTGAATTCAGAGATTAACTGAAGTCAGAAATTTATGAATGTGAGGAAGCACTGCCTGCTGGTCTTTTCCCACTGTCAGTTCCTGACTGGTTTCACCCTCAGAAATCTGTCTCAGGCACTCTTGCACCCACCAAGGCTGGGCTTTAGTGCCACCACATCCTGCCCTGAAGCAGGTCAGCATGGTGAGTGCCACAGTAGGGAGCCCTTAAACTTCACACGGCTTATGAGAGGTTTTTCTCCATGTGAGAATGGCTGGGAAAAGGTGGGAAGGGTGGGAATGTTCCACAGAGCTTTCAAAGGATTTTGGTTGGGACTGATCCTTGGGGGAAGGCACACAAGCAGAACAGCAGCCTGACCCCTCAGCACAACAGGAGCAAAGTGCAGAGCCCATTCTGCTGCCTGTTGAACCGTGCCTGTCACAGAGAGAGCACTGGGAGTTGGTGTCCCTTAATTAGATCATTAGACAAAGGTCACTGCAGAAAGCTCCCCCTGCAGATTTCCATGAGGCCTCCAGATCTGGCACCTCTCTGTGAGTTTACAGTTTAATTGCCTCTTAAGGGGAGGAAATGCCAGGCTGAAGCTGCTGTTGCTCCAAACCAACTCTAAATGCCACCATGTCTGTGTGAAAGTTTGCACTACATCAGGATCCTCATGGCTCATGGTTCTGTGCTGCCTCTGAAATGCAGAAGAGGCAGAGACCAATTTCTGCAATGTTTGTCTCTCTATAGCATCAAAAAGGAGGCAAAAAAATTTAGTATTTGTCATTCCTAGAGGCAGCTGTGAAATTGCTATGCAGAAGATTTAAACCCACAAAGGACACACCTCCTTGTACATTGCGTGATTAAAATCACAGGACTCTGCTGTGGACAGCACCAGTATTAATGTGCTCAGACCTAGAACACAGACACAGCTGGACCTGTCAAACACAACAGAGCAGCTGCAGCTCCAGGGACACGATGTTATCATTGGGAAGGACCAGGGGAGGAGAAACCTTGCTCTGGGTTTGCCACTGTTCTCCTAATCTGTGGTACTGGCAGCTGTTAAGGCAGAATAATAGGTACCACCAGCCTGACATTCAGCATCACTAAAGCTTTGCCTCTATCCTCTGACCTGATGGACTAGCAGAACACTTCTGTGGTTTATTATGTTTTTTTTTAATAATCTGGAGATGGTTTTTCCCCATCACACAAACAAACAAACAAACAAACAAACAGATTAACTAAACAGGCTTCCAGAATTTCAAACATGTTTCTTCTTCCTGTGACATCTTCTCACAGCTCTGAAAGGTTAGTGGACAGGAAACATCTGTGCAATTGGCTGTCCTGTTACACAAACAGCTCAGTAGTTTTTTATAAGGCTTTCTCAGACAGGAGGAAATCAGTGGGTCAGTTATCAGCCAGGGGCAAATGTTTTTAATTACCATGCAGGGAGGATTGGGTCTATTCTGTTTGGCTCTCAAAAGTTCCCACTGACAGTCTAATTAGCAAGCAGCATCCCTGGAAGAGGAGGCCTGAAGTTATGTGGTTTTACTCACCCAGGAGGCAAACACCCAGTTGATCCTCCTCTGTCACATCATGGCTCTCTCTGCCAGCCAGATCACACCAAAGGGCAGTTGGTCTGGAAGAGACAAAACCACACTCTGTGCCCATCAGCAGCTCTGCTTCATCATTCAAATGCTGTTCTTCAGGCACTTCAGTGCTACACCTTCTTCTTTAAAAGAAGGGCTGGTAGAGATTTTAGTTGAAGGACTGTTTGTTCCTCATAAACTGAAATCAGCTTCACATCTTAGAGATTATACATTGGATGTTACATGTTACATATTAAAACAGTTTTCCTTATTTTTCCCTTCTTCTCCAGGAAGAATACACCAATATATCTCACCTGTGTTTGGGTACCACTACAAGAACCACTGATGCACAGGGGAACAGAGTCAGGCCCCAAACAGGAGGCATCAGGGTTAGGGGTAGGCTTAGGCTTAGGC